CATAATAGAAACTCAGGAGACATAAGTATTTGCTATTGAATTAGACAATATTGCCAGGAGAGTAGTTAACTGGGGGAAAATTAAAACAGATAACTCTTACAGGAGACGAGTATTTGAATTTTACTTTAAAGAAAGAAAAGATGCTGCCAGGTGCGGTGGCTCACGCCTGTAATCCCAGCACTTTGGGAGGCCAAGGTGGGCGGATCACGACGTCAAGAGATCGAGACCATCCTGGCTAACACGGTGAAATCCTGTCTCTACTAAAACTATAAAAAATTAGCTGGGTGTGGTGGTGGGCGCCTGTAGTTCCAGCTGCTCGGGAGGCTGAGGCAGGAGAATGGCATGAACCTGGGAGGCGGAGCTTGCAGGGAGCCGAGATCACACCACTGCACTCCAGCCTGGGCGACAGAGTGAGACTGTGTCGAGAAAAAAAAAAAAAAGAAAGGAAAAGATGCTTCTGGAATTCTCAAGTAAATTATCATAAGCCCTAAATTCATTTTATTCCTAGTACTCCCACCATAATTTGAATCTCTGAACAATGTTCTTTTTTTTTTTTTTTGAGACAAAGTCTCGCTCTTGTCCCCCAGGGTAGAGTGCGATGGTGCTATCTCGGCTCACTGCAACTTCCGCCTCCTGGGTTCAAGCAATTCTCCTGCCTCAGCCTCCACAGTAGCTGGGATTACAGGCACCCGCCACCATGCCCAGCTAGTTTTGGTATTTTTAGTAGAGATGGGGTTTTACCATGTTGGCCAGGCTGGTCTCAAACTCCTGACCTCAGGTGATCCACCCGTCTCGACCTCCCAAAGTGCTGGGATTATAGGCGTGAGCCACTGCGCCCAGCCTGAATCTCTGAACAATGTTCTAAATTTGATATAGTACATGAAAAAGTCAAGATTTTTTTCTATTTTTCCCATCCCTAGAATCACCTGCCGTATGAAATAACCATACAAAAGCTGGGCCACCACAAAACATTATTGGCTTTGTGGGAAACAGAGCAGCAGATGCTTGACCCAATGGAAATCCTTCCTAGAGAACTAGAATCATAGCAGAGTGTCACATACTGAAAATAACATGGCCGGGCGCAGTGGCTCATGCCTGTAATCCCAGCACTTTGGGAGGCCGAGACGGGCGGATCACGAGGTCAGGAGAACGAGACCATCCTGGCTAACACGGTGAAACCCCGTCTTTACTGAAAATACAAAAAAAATTAGCCAGGGGTGGTGGCGGGTGCCTACAGTCCCAGATACTCGGGAAGCTGAGGCAGGAGAACGACGTGAACCCAGGAGGGAGAGCTTGTAGTGAGCCGAGATCGTGCCACTGCACTCCAGCCTGGGCAACAGGGCGAGACACCGTCTCCAAAAAAAGAAAATAACAGCAGCACAGCTGACTTCCTGTGTCCTCTCCCATTCCCACATCCATTTTTCTTTCATATTAGAATATAAACCTTTAGAATCAAACCTGCTTCCTTATGGTTTAGAAATGACAGTAATGTTCTTAGTCTTTGTAGAGACTAGCAATTAAAAAAAAAGTCAAAGCAAACAAAATGACTTTTTTACTCTATTAGCATTCTGCAACAAGAGTTAAAGACTATAAAAGACATTGGAGGGCTGGGAGCGGTGGCTCACGCCTGTAATCCCAACACTTTGGGAGGCCAAGCCGGATGGATTACTAGAGGTCAGGAGTTCGAGACCAGCCTGGCCAACATAGTGAAATCCCATCTCTACTAAAAATACAAAAATTAGCCGAGTGTGGTGGCAGGCACCTATAATCCCAGCTACGCAGGAGGCTGAGGCAGGAGAATTGCCTGAACCCAGGAGGCGAAGGTTGCAGTGACCAGAGATCGCGCCATTGCACTCCAGTCTCGGAGAAAGTGCGAGACTCTGTCTCAAAAAAAAAAAAAAAGAAAAGAAAAGAAAAAAAAGAAAGACATGGGAGAAGACATCACTATGTAATGAACTCAAGGTATACGGAAGTAAATGAAGAGCTCCAAGTGCAAGATGTCCAGGCTTGGCATGTCTGGGGTTGTAAGAGTTCAGCAGCCTGGCTCTACTTGTTTTTCTGCTTCCTTTTGTGGAAGTTCAAACCAGCTGACTCACAGTTAAAGAGTGAGTCTCAAGTCATTCCCTTAGAGAAGTGACAGCAAGAAAAGGCTTCGTTAAGTGGCCTGTATGCAACCATAAAAAAATACAAGAGAGTAGTCCCATTAATGTTCAGTAAGAGACAAAAGACTAAAGATGGCTTATGACATAAAGTCTGAAAAAAAAGAAATATTCAGTTGCTTACCAATTGCTGATACCCTTGTCTCTAAATAAATCTGAATGAGACTCCAGGAGCTCAAAATATAAACAGTTAGAAACCATTGATATTCATTAAGATATTTTTATGAGGTATATTTGGAAACATAAGTGATGATCTGGCTTACCAATGGTGGGATCATGATCTTCTGGGAATCGGTGGCTGATGAACTGCATGGTCATGGCTTCAAAAGAAGAAATAAAAGTCAAATCCTCACAAAGGTGACCCACAGAGAGAATTTTAAGTATTAACACTGCAAGAGAGCAAGTATCCCATCTGGTCACTTAAGTACTTTTCATCCATGCTTTCTGTCAAATGGAAAATGTTACCTACCACTCTTCCCTACACCACCAGCACCCAGCATCACTAGTTTGTACTCCCGTGAGAGCCCAGCGGGGCTGCTACAGCAGCTACCAACTGGGCGAGTTCCAGAATCCATTGTCCTCTTGGGGCCTTCCTGGGCTGCCCCGAGGAAAAGCCACCTAGAAAAGGAGGAGGAAATGCTTAATCCAGGATGGAGACACCACGGCGACAGCCCTCAAGCCAGTGCCTTACCTTTCCATACATACTCTGGCCTGTCCCTCTTGCTCACCACTGCACCCCTTCTGGTGGCCCTAAGAAACCCCCCACATCTTCACCCTCCCTCCGAGATAGTTCAGTCACATGACAGACACATCACAGGTTTTACTTTTTCCAAAGAGAAAAATTAAAAGATACAAATAAATTTAGGTCCTGGCACAGTAGGGACAAGAAGAAAGTTTTGGGAAGGGATGCGACCCCTTAGGCCGCAGGGGTCCCCTCACGCCTGCGGTACCCGGAGGTTCTGCCCCCTCCCCATTCTCCTCCGAGACCCCTCCCGGCCCCCAGCTGCTCCTCCACCGCCAGACTCCCCACCCATCTGCCTCACAAGCCGACGCCCTGCTGCTCCTACCGGTCAGTGGGGACTAGAACACCACGGCCGGTCGGGTCACCCACTTGTCTTCCTTCACCCGCAGAGGCTCTGTCACTGACCTGTGACCCCTCCCGCAGCCGGGTAAGATGGCGCCACCGGCTCCCCAGTCGCGGAAGGAGGGGCGGGGCCACTCTGTGACGCCCACAGCGTGCCCCGCCCTCTTCCCTCCCCTCCCAGGTCCCTAAACCCAGTTCCGGGACTCCCCGCTGAAGGCCCTCTGGTCACCTACCCAACGTAGGGTGTATGCACTCACAGACAAGGGTATTTAATCAGGAGTAGAAAGTAAATTATTTACACAAAAGGGGAGTACGTGGTAAGAGACATTCAGGGACACTTAAAAACATTTAACAACTTACCCAGGGTTGTTTGCTGCTTGTGGAAAAAAACCCACAAAAACCCGAAACTAATTTGACCCAATGCAATGAGAGGAAGTGAGGACAGGGGCACCCCCCAAATCCTCCTAAAACACAGGATTTCAATAAAGTCTACCGGGGATGACTGCTTCACAGCAGAAAATGACTTTCCTAAAGGAGTGGTCACAATGACTTTGGCTATTGAAACCCAGATTCATTCTCAAAAACCAGATGTTCACAACACTCCCTAATCAGAGTTCTGTGTATGTTTTTTAAACACGTATAAGACACACAAAAACTTGTTTTAAATAAATGTACCACACACTGGCAGGAAAGAGAGCTTGTTAAGCGGCCTTGAGTTAAATACAGAACTGAAGCCACTATAACCATATTCCCCTCTAGGTAGCACAGGTGCTAGAAAAAACTGACACTGGAAAATTGTTCTGAGGCAGCTCTGCCCACCACTGTTCTTTTTAAATGTCTTTCTGGGCCAGGCGCGGTGGCCCACGCCTGTAATCCCAGCACTTTGGGAGGCCGAGGCGGGCAAGGCAGGAGGTCAAGAAATCGAGACAATCCTAGCCAACATGTAAAACTGTCTCTACTAAAAATTCAAAAGAATTAGCTGGGTTTGGTGGCGTGCGCCTGTAAGTCCCAGCTACTCGGGAGGCTAAGGCAGAATAATCACTTGAATCTGGGAGGTGGAGATTGCAGAGCTGCCTGAGACGGTGCCACTGCACTCCAGCCTGGCAACAAAGCAAAACTCCGTCTCAAAAAAAAAAAGTCTTTCTGGCCAGGCATGGTGGCTCACGCCTGTAATCCCAGCACTTTGGGAGGCTGAAGTGGGCAGATCACTTGAGTATCAGGAGTTCAAGACCAGCCTGGCCAAAATGGTGAAACCCTGTCTCTACTAAAAATACAAAATTTAGTTAGGTATGGTGGTAGGTGCCTGTAATCATCCCAGTTACTCAGGAGGCTGAGGCTGGAGAATCACTTGAACCCAGGAGGTGGAGGATGCACTGAGCCAAGATTACACCATTGCACTCCAGCCTGGGCGACAGAGCGAGACTCCATCTCAAAAAAATAAAATAAAATGTCTTTCCAAGAATAACATATTTCCTTTAAAATCTGCTTCAGTCATGAAGTCCTTTTAATACCCTGTTAAATAAAGGAGGGCTAAAATATGAAAATGGATAATATCCAGCATAATAATCCTTAACATTTTCATTTGAACTTTAAGGGTACATTTTGCAGTTACATAACTCTTGGAACTATATGCAAACCTTGGGGTCTGTATATGTATTTTTCTGGTAATATTATAGTTGCATTATGCTATGAGTAAAAAAGTTTATGAATTTTAGTGTATGGATGGGTTGTGGAAGAAAACAGAGAAACCACAAGCATAATATTTATACATTTATTTATAATGAAATTATGGTCTACATATTTACAACGTATAGGAAACCAGAGGATAAGTTTATACAAAGCCAGCCTGCAAAGTATTCAAATGTGCAAAAATGACAGTTCAATATCTCAAACTATTCCTGGTTCAGCAGACTAGCTCCTTCACTTTCACACATCAATATTTGATACAAAAAAAGTTCTTTTGGCAAAACCTGTAATGCCAAGAAAAAGGACAAGTTGCAATTTCAGTCATTAAGTCCAAAATCCTATAGCCAGCAGTCAGATCTCTCTATTTTAGCTGCAACCAGTTCTGAGAGAGACAGACCACTGTGTTTCATTTCTGTGATGAGTTCTGACCAGTTTTAGTCAGGAAGTTTTCTCTGACCCAGCTGAAGACAGGATCTTAGAAGGGCAATAAAAACAGTAATGGCTATGAGACCAATGTGCCTGAAGGTGCCAGCTCTGGATCACCCCAATTAAAAACAACAATGAAAAAATAACTTCATTTTCCTATCCAGGATCCAGCTATATCCAACAGTTTTAAATGAGACAGCATTTTCCAAAACAGAAAGAATCCAAAATGAAACAGGGATGCAGATCTGTCAGAATTAAATACTGAAAAGGACGGTCTTAAAATAATTTCCCCACTAATAAATAGTAAGGCTCTGTTTGTAACCAGTTATGTATCAAAATTGACCAAACAGTAGTAAAATACAAATAAAACTTTCTTTATGTCAGAATTGGGTCTATTCATTTGGAAAAGGCTGGACCAGGTCAAATGTGTATGGGAACGACCCTGTTAGAATGCTTTGTTGGACAAGCACATTTCACGAACTGTTAAAAAGCTTCTGAGATAAGTTTGTGATTCTAATTAAATTTTAACAGATTCTATGCCACTGCAGAAATAAGGATTTTTGTTGTTGTTGTTGTTAAGGAACCCCTTTAAGAAAGGGCGGCACTGAATCTCAAACTTCTGCAAAGTCCAGGTTGGTTCCCAGCACAGGCCCCAGAGTCTTGTTAAATCAAATGCATGCATTATTGCTAAGAAGAGTCACTGAGGGTCAAAACTCTGTTCCACTGTTTCCTAGGGAGCCATCCAGAATGGCATCTGTTGTTTAGCTCGTGGTTGTGATGAAGGATATTGGTATCCCAAACTCCAGCCCTGTGGAAAACTACTTGCATTTTTATGACCTCCATGTTCCTCCTCTTCATCAGATGAATCTGCGGCATAAGCCACCAAGCCAAATCCCTTCTCTGTAGTTTTCATCTTCTTGGCTGGATAATCTAGAATAGAGAAAAACAACCCCAACCCCATCCCCACCAAGGGAAAAAAAAAAAATACCATAAATTCGTTAATTAAAAAAAAAGATGTTAATTTTAAGTGGTTAGTTGGACACCATTTTGAGGTCACAGGGTCAATGGTCACCCAAAAACGTTGAAGATCACAGGAAAAACAGCACCAGCATCAGCAAATGTGAATCCACCAGAACCATGTAAGAAAACAGAGAAAGAAAAAAGAAACACAAAAAAAAGAAAAAAAAAGAAAAAAAGGAAAGTTAGCAAGTGAGTCTCTTGAGGGATGATATTTCACCTTTTAAAGAGTTAAAAGAAAAGAAGTTAAGAAAAGAAAAAAACGTCTTTTCTTCTGTTCATTTTTATGAGTACAAGCAAAGAACAAAATATCCCATGTACCTCTACAGGATTTAGAGTTCTGGGATGCTAAAAAGCAACCTTTTCCTAACAGCCACAAACTGACCATTACTGACCAATAGAGCTATAAGGGGAGATGTGTGGCTTAGCTCCCAATACAAAGCAAAATCAACCTTTATTAAGTCCGTATCAGATGACGTCCTGGTATTCACACAATATAGGCAACAGGATTTTTAAATGACCTACTACTACTACTCATTAATATTCACTGATGCTATGTATAAAATAAGTCGACTAACTCTTTTCTAGATACACGTTGGTTGGAAATAAAAGGTTGTCTGTATATAATTTTTTTAAACTATTTTTTCTCTCTCTGTCTCAAACACATTGGTTGGAAATCACAGGTTATCTGTATACAATTTTTTAAAAACTATTTTCTCTTTCTCTTTCTTTTTTTTGAGACAGAGTCTCACTCTATTGCCCAGGCTGGAAAGCAGTGGTGTGATCTCAGCTCACTACAACCTCCACCTCCCAAGTTCAAGCGTTTCTCCTGCCTCAGCCTTCCAAGTCGCTGGGATTACAGGCATGCACTACCATGTCCAGCTTAATTTTTCTATTTTTAATAGAGATGGGGTTTCACCGTGTTAGCCATGCTGGTCTCAAACTCCTGACCTCAGCTGATCCGCCCACCTTGGCCTCCCAAAGTGCTGGGATTACAGGCGTGAGCCACCATGCCCAGCCCAAAAGTATTTTCACTGGCTAATAGATTAGAGAGGTTGGATTAAACACCTGAATGAACATCAGGTTAGAAAACTAATAGCTTTATTTATGTATGTATTTATTTATTTATGAGATGGAGTCTTGCTCTATTGCCCAGCCTGGAGGGCAGTGGTCTGATCTTGGCTCACTGCAACCTCTGCCTCCCAGGCTGAAGCGATTCTCCTGCCTCAACCCCCAAGTAGCTGGGATTACAGGGGCCCACCACCATGCCCACTAGTTTTTGTATTTTTAGTAGAGATGGGGTTTCACTATATTGGCCAAGCTGGTCTTGAACTCCTGACCTTAGGTGATCCACCCATCTTGGCCTCCCAAAGTGCTGGGATTACAGGCGTGAGCCACCACGCCTGGCTGAGAAAACTAATAGCTCTAGACCAGTCTTAGTCACTCCCCTGTTCCCCCAGCTATACAACACTCACCATGGCTCCCTGTTAAGGTCCCAGACCCATTCCTTTCATCGGATTCTGTTTTTATTCCAGTCACTGGAAAGGCTGGTGGAGGCATCAACTGCCTATTGAAAGACAAAATGAAACTTTCTTTCAGACAATTTAAATTTTCTTAACTTATCCAGTGGATTAGAAGTGCAATTAAATCTGCAGACAATCCTTCAAATTCATTTTAACCATTAATTTCAACTGCTTCCACCTTCCCCCAGCCCCTTTATAAAAGTATAAGGCCCATCTACACAGCAATTGCCATGACAAAAATCTAATGAACTGTTATGAAACGGTATCAGCTCCTTTCTTATGAAGGTTAATATACTAATGTAAGAAAGGTAAATTCGAGCACTGTGTGGCAGGCTGAACTCCCATATTCATGTACTTCCATCCATGATATTCTAATAATTCTAAAGTAGCAAAAATAGCTGAATTATATAACATTTCTGTTACTGTCTATCCTTAGGAAAATGGCCAAGATGCGGACAATGGAAGTCAAGAAAGATGTCTGAACAAGTAATAAATTATCCAAAGTCAAGTATAACTGCTTCTAAGTCTGTAAAAGGCCTATCATTATATTTTCCTTCACTGCATCAATTACAACAAACAGACGCATATTTGATTCAAAGATTTCATTTCAGTTTCAGAATACTTAAGCTCATAGCAATGATCACTACTCTGACTAATGGTGCAAACAAATGACATCTGAATACACTTGCATAATTATTCCAACTTACCTGTCCCTCTCTCTCTCTTTGCCTGAGGAACTTGCTGGCTTCGATCCTGCACCTTCAATCTCATTCTGACTGGAGAAGCCTGTACCTAAATTAGTCATATGAATGGGTCCATGCTATGAGCAGAAAAATACAGTGGCATTAGCAAATCTACAACTGCTGTATTGACTTTAGCTCCTTAATGTAACTGTCAAGTGCCTCATCTTTCTGATAAGTTGTAGTAAGTTAAACTACTACAAAGCTCTTTGGGATTTGCTGTGTAACTGTAGTCAAAAGTAGGGATTTTTTTTTCTCTGTAGGACTTGGACAGGGGTGTTATAATTCATTATGCTATCTATAGCCTGTTTTTAACTGACTGCCCATAGCTCAACTAGTTTCTATAAACCTAGCTAGAAACCATAAAAAAATGTTTTGGTTTAAAGAATGATTCAAGGATTCTGACAAAATGGAAAGGTACTTCTGATAAAATTGCACCAAAACTACAAATTAAGAATCTTTTTAACTTTAGTGGCTAACTTTACAATTACATGTACAGAATCACTCCTTTTCTAGCAGTCTTGCGGGGTGGGGAGACTGGAGGGAGATATCACTCTCTTTTTTAGGTGGAGGGTAAAAGAGCACCACTGAAAGCCAAGATTTTAAATACAAGCCACATATTGGTAGATCAATAGCTTTGAGTGAGATGTGTAAGAAAATAAGAACTCTCAGAGGCTTTCAAGAGTCTGTTGAATAGGATAAAAAACCTAACCAAAATAAATTCCAGAAAGCAGAAATCCTAGTGCTGGGAGAATGATGTGAATTTATCTTTTTTAAAGGGAGAATATAGTAGGAGAATAAGATGAAGATAGGAAAACAGGGTATTTTATTTAACCTGGTATCCAAGCAGTCCAGATTCCCGTTCATCTGGTAGCTCCTCTGTGAATCGTCTCTTCTGTGCCTGGGGCTGACTTGGGAGTGGGGGCTGGGGCTGGGGCTGGGGCTGGGGGCCAGCAGGCAAGGCAGTTTTGACAGGAGCAGCAGGAATAAAAGGACCACCCATCGGACTCTGGGACCAAAACAAACCAAGGAAGAAAAAAAGTGTGAGAATGCCCAAGGAATAAGTAAACAATGATTACAATATACTTTAAGGATCAATAAGTATCTCATGAATTTTGCATCTTCAGGTCCTTAGTTTCCTTCATGTATAATTTGGTAACAGTATCACCTAGCCTTCTCACCTTCATCCTAGGGAAACATGAAATTGACAACCTATATACAGTGCTTTGAACTTTTTTTTTTTTGAGACTGGAGTCTCGCTCTGTCGCCCAGGTTGGAGTGCAGTGGCGCGATCTCGGCTCACTGCAACCTCTGCCTCCCGGACTCATGCCATTCTGCCTCGGCCTCCCGAGCCGCTGGGACTACAGGCGCCCGCCACCATGCCTGGCTAGTTTTTTTTTGCATTTTTAGTAGAGACGGGGTTTCACCGTGTTTGCCAGGATGGTCTCGATCTCCTGACCTCGTGATCCGCCCGCCTCAGCCTCCCCAAGTGCTGGGATTACAGGCTTGAGCCACCGCGCCTGGCCCAGTGCTTTGAACTTTTAAGAAAACTCTGTTGTGCATTTGGGCTACTAGGAGCAAACATGACCATTAACAAACAGAACTCCAACCACTGACAGTCAACATGATTAGCTTTCTGTAATAAGCTTTCTGTAATTTATAAATGCTGCTAATGCTTGTGGAAGAAGTAATTTCATCTTCCACTCCCTTAGTTATTAGTAAGTTACTATGTTAAGATTAAGTCTAATGTTTGAAGATGTTGTTCCAAAAAGGAATAAGGGGTATCAAAAGACAATATATATTACAGAAAAATAGGAAGGTCTGAAGAGAAAACTCTATACAGCCATGCGTTGCTTAGCAATGGTAATACGTGTTTTGTTTTGTTTTTGAGACAGAGTCTCAGTCTTGCTCTGTCTCCCAGGCTGGCGTGCAATGGTGCGATCTCGGCTCGCTACAACCTCTGCCTACTAGGTTCAAGCGCTTCTCTTGCCTCAGCCTGCCGAGGGACACTACGACCTCTGCCTACCAGGTTCAAGCGCTTCTCTTGCCTCAGCCTGCCGAGGGACTACACGCACGTGCCACCATGCACAACTAATTTTTTTAGTACTTGTGATCCACCTGTCTCAGCTTCCCAAAATACTGGGATTACAGGTGTGAGCCACTACACCGAGTGTGAGCCACTACGCCAGTGCGAATGTTTTGATAAATGCACTGCAAGGCGATTTTGTCATTGAACAAATGTGTACTTATACAAACTTAAGATGAAAATAGCCTACTACACACATAGGCTATATGGTATGGCCTACTGTTTCTAGGCTACAATCCTGTATAGCATGTTACTGTACTGAATGCTGTAACACAATGGTAAGTATTTGTGTATCTAAATGTAGAAAAGGTACAGTAAAAATATGCTACTACAATTTTACAGAACAAGCATCATATATGCAGTCTATCACTGACTAAAACGTTGTAAGGTGGCTGACTGTATTAATAACACAGCTAACATTTATTGACAGATTGGATCATCTTACTTAATCCTCGCAAACCTCTTAGATTTTTATCACTGTGCCCATTTTACATCTAAGGAAAACCAAACCCTAGACAAGTCAAGTTACATCCCAGTATCACACAGCTCAAAAATGGGAAAGCATGATGAACCCTGTCAATCTAATTCTAACTCCCAGCTTTTTTTTTTTGAGTTTTGCTTGTGACCTAGGCTGCAGTGCAGTGATGCGATCTTGGCTCACTGCAACCTCTGCCTCCTGGGTTCAAACAGTTCTCCTGCCTCGGCCTCCCAAGTAGCTAGGATTATAGGTGCCCACCACCACGCCCAACTAATTTTTATATTTTTAGTAGAGACAGGGTTTCACCATGTTGACCAGGCTGGTCTTGAACTCCTGACCTCAAGTGATCCACCCGCCTCGACCTCCCAAAGTGCTGGGATTACAGGTACATGAGCCAACACGGCCACCTTAACTCCCTGCTTTTAACCACTCTGCTGTATTGCTTCCCAATTACAAAGGACTGACATTCAAAAGTGGGGACCTACAGAGCTGTCTAAATATAAAAATTAAAATAATTTCGGCCGGGCATGGTGGCTCATGCCTGTAATACTAGCACCGTAATCCTAGCATTTTGGAAGGCCAAGGCCACGGATCACCTGAGGTCAGGAGTTCATGACCAGCCTGGCCAAAATGGTAAAACCTCATCTCTACTAAAAATACAAAAATTAGCTGGGCGTGGTGGCATGTGCCTGTAATCCTAGCTACTCGGGAGGCTGAGGCAGGATAATCACTTGAACCCAGGAGGTGGAGGTTGCAGTGAGCCAAGATCACACCACTGTACTCCAGCCTTAGCATCAGAGTGAGATTCTTCTCAAAATAAAGTAACGGTGGCTCACGCCTGTAATCCCAGAACTTTGGGAGTCCGAGGTGGGTGGATCACGGGGTCAGGAGATCGAGACCATCCTGGCTAACAAGGTGAAACCCCGTCTCCACTAAAAATACAAAACAATCAGCCAGGCGTGGTGGAGGGCGCTTGTAGTCCCGGCTACTTCGGAGGTTGAGGCAGGAGAATGGCATGAACCTGGGAGGCGGAGCTTGCAGTGAGCCGAGATGGTACCACTGCACTCTAGCCTGGGCGACAGAGCAAGACTCCGTTCCAAAAAATAATAATAATAAAAATAAATTAAAATAAAATAAATAAATTTTACCAGGGACCACAAATAAAATTTAGTTCATAGTTTTTCTGTTATACACTGTGCAACCCCCTTCAGTGCTCACAGCCCACAGGTAAGGGGGCTGGGCAATGGTTTGAGGCTGCCATTTACTCTGGCATGGGTACACTATGAGAGGCCCACAGCGAAGGACCCACCATAAATCCATTACCATGCTCTCATGAAGTCTCTCCCCTGCCTCTAAGACCAGTATATAAACCATCCAGATTATCATCCAGACATCTACTCTTTTCCTACAATTCTACTTTCACGATTTAAGAAATTGTGGCCAAGTACGGTGGCTCACATCCGTAATCCCACGACTTGGGGAGGCCAAGGCAGTCAGATAATGAGGTCAGGAGATCAAGACCATCCTGGCTAACACAGTGAAACCCCATCTCTACTAAAAATACAAAAAAATTAGCCAGGTGTGGTGGCAGGTGCCTATAGTCCCAGCTACTTGGGAGGCTGAGGCAGGAGAATGGCGTGAACCTGGGAGGCGGAGCTTGCAGTGAGCCGAAAGGGGCCACTGCACTCCAGCCTGGGTGACAGAGCGACACTCCATCTCAAAAAAAAAAAAAAAAAGTTAAGTATACATTTCTTAAGTTATAAAAGAAACATGCCAGCATTTATAATCCTTACATTTGAAAAGTTTATATATCTCTTACATAATGTTTATTTTTTTTGAGACACGGTATCTCACTCTGTCACTGAGGCTGGAGTGCGCTGGCACCATCTTGGTTCACTGCATCCGTGACCTCCTAGGCTCAAGGGACCCTCCCACCTCAGCCTCTTAAGTAGCTGAAATACAGGTATGTGCCACCATGTCCAGCTAATTTTTTTGTAGAGATGGGGTCTCACTATGTTGCCTAGGCTGGTCTCAAACTCCTGCGCTAAAGCAGTCCTCCTGCCTCGGCCTCCCCAAATGCTGAGATTATGTTTCCTCTTAAGATGTGAAATTGTAACTCAGTTCCAATCACTAAGAGGTGTGGTGAAGGTAGCCCCATTCTCCTTGAGGACTTTGTTAACATTGCAAAGGCCCTTAAAGCCTAAAATATTTGCTATCTGACCCTTTATAGCAAGTGTGCCCACCAGCCCTACTTTAAAAAGTTATTTGGTGTGCAAGACTGTGAAAATATAAACTTTAGGATGACATACACACATACACGCTAATCCAAAATATTCACGTAGGTTGGTGGTAGGAACACAGAAGACAGTAGGAAAAAAACATTCCACATTACATGATTTATTTCTGGAATACCACTACTTCCCCTCTTTCCCCAGTTTTTCCTAAATTCAGTAGTATCTTGTTGCATATCCTGACATCCTACCTGTCCAGTGCTAGCTGGAGGCTGCACTTGTGTTATCGGGTATTGTGTTGGCACAGGTGGAACTCCAGTAGGTAATGCCGGCAAGACTCCAGGTGCTAATGAAACAGCTGGTGGCACTATGCTTGGTACTCCGTAGGGAGGTTGAACTGGCTGCTGAGGAGGGGGAACAACAGGGTAACCAGACTGATAGCCATTGGATGGATAATATGGTGGTTGAGGAGGGACACTACTTATAGCAGAGGGTTGTGTATAGCCTGAGGGGGAAGAAAAAAAGTGTTTAATCAGCTGCAGCAGAATGAGACAATTTAGCTGAATATTAAACTTAATATCTAGGGAAGAAAAATACTGAGGCATGAATGGCTTTCCAAATTACCCTAAATTAAAGGGAACATTAATAGTGCCCTGGCACAGTCTAGCCTCCAGTATCATAATTACACATAACTATCACTAGCAAAATATTTTTTAAACACTTCAAGATGTACACACCTGGTAAAGGTACAGCAGTATTAATCTGATTCACAAATCTAGAATATTCAGCATGAACCTGAAAGAGAGGGGGAAACAAATTAACATGGGACAGCCCAAGCTGTGTATTTACAAGGGTCTGATTATATAATTCTAGGACCAAAGCCATTAGCAATTAAAATATATCTACCGATATTCCAATCAAATTTAAACTGGTTTAACCTACTTTTTTTTTTTTTTTTTGAGACATAAGTCTCGCTCTGTCACCCAGGGTGGAGAGCAGTGGTGCGATCTCGTATCACTGCAACCTTTTTTTTTGAGACAGTCTCACTCTGTCACCCAGGCTACAATGTAATGGCAAGGTCTCAGCTCACTGCAACCTCCACCTCCAAGGTTTAAGTGATTCTCCTGCCTCAGCCTCCCAAGTAGCTGGGACTACAGGTGAGTACCACCACACCCAGCTAGTTTTTGTATTTTTAGTAGACATGGGGGTTTCACTATGTTGGCCAGGCTGGTCTCCAACTCCTGACCTCGTTATCCACCCGCCTTGGCCTCCCAAAGTGCTGGGATTACAGGCATAAGCCACCGCATCCAGCCCACCTCAACATTTTAATAAGGCAGATCTATAAATTATTAAGCCAATTTTGGGCATTAGGAGCATGAATAATCCTGAATCCCCTAAAGTATACTCAATTCTGGGGTACAAAATCATTTAGAAAGCCACAGAAATTAAGTAACTAGGAAATTTCCAAGTTGTTAGTATAACTGATGAGACCTCATTCATTCACATTTACTGGGTGACTTTTCCTCAAGGTTTACTCACAGTTTACTAAGGGTTTAGTATTTTCCTCATACTTCCTTCCTATATATTATTAAGTCCATAACCTCAAGTACCAACAAAAAGATGGGAAATGGTCAAGAAAATTATCTGGTACAAGGGTTGGTAAATCAGGTGATATGTAAAAAAACAAAGGAAGTAAAAAAACAAAACAAAGTAAAAAAACAAACAAGGCCAGACGCAGTGGCTCATGCCTGCAATCCCAGCACTGTGGGAGGCCGAGGCGGGCAGATCACGAGGTCAGGAGATCGAGACCATCCTGGCTAACACAGTGAAACCCCGTCTCTCCTAAAAATACAAAAAACTTAGCCGAGCATGGTGGTGGGCATCTGTAGTCCCAGCTACTCAGGAGGCTGAGGCAGGAGAATGACGTGAACCTGGGAGATGGAGGTTGCAGTGAGCTGATATTGCGCCACGGCACTCCAGCCTGGGCGACAGAGTGAGACTCTGTCTCAAAAAAAAAAAAAAAAAAAAACACCACCATAAGCTACCCAATAAGGTACCAGAGAACACAAGATTGAACATATTCAGTCCAAAACCTGATTTCCTTTAAGTGCTATAAAGACAGTCCTAAGGTTTAACTTTTGGTTGTTTACAGAAAAAAAGAATGCATAACCAAATGAGCAATCATCCCCCAAACATGTCTAACTGGTTTCAAATTATTATAGCTCTACCCTTACTTCAGACTGGAGCTATGCTAATATAAGCCAAAACCAACACAATGGGCCGGGCGCGGTGGCTCAAGCCTGTAATCCCAGTACTTTGGGAGGCCGAGGTGGGCGGATCACAAGGTCAGGAGATCGAGACCATCCTGGCTAACATGGTGAAACTCCTTCTCTACTAAAAATACAAAAAAATTTTTTTTTTTTTTTTTGAGACGGAGTCTCGCTGTGTCTCCCAGGCTGGAGTGCAGTGGCGTGATCTCGGCTCACTGCAAGCTCCGCCTCCCGGGTTCACGCCATTCTCCCGCCTCAGCCTCCCAAGTAGCTGAGACTACAAGCGCCTGCCACCACGCCCGGCTAGTTTTTTGTATTTTTTTAGTAGAGACGGGGTTTCACCATGTTAGCCAGGATAGTCTCGATCTCCTGACCTCATGATCCACCCGCCTCGGCCTCCCAAAGTGCTGGGATTACAGGCTTGAGCCACCGCGCCCGGCCAAAAATACAAAAAATTAGCCGGCTGTGGTGGTGGGTGCCTGTGGTCCCAGCTACTCGGGAGGCTGAGGCAGGAGAATGGCGTGAACCTGGGAGTTGGAGCTTACAGTGAGCCGAGATAGGGCCATTGCACTCCAGCCTGGGTGACAGAGCGAGACTCCAACTCAAAAAAAAAACACAAAAAACAAAAAACAAAAAAATAGAGTGGCTCAAGCCTGTAATCCCAGCACTTTGGGAGGCCGAGGCGGGTGGATCACGAGGTCAGGAGATCGAGATTATCCTGGCTAACATGGTGAAACCCCGTCTCTACTAAAAATACAAAAAACTAGCCGGGCGTGGTGGCGGGCGCCTGTAGTCTCAGCTACTTGGGAGGCTGAGGCGGGAGAATGGCGTGAACCCGGGAGGCGGAGCTTGCAGTGAGCCGAGATCACGCCACTGCACTCCAGCCTGGGAGACACAGCGAGACTCCGTCTCAAAAAAAAAAAAAAAAAAAAAATAGAAAACCAACACAATGACCAGGTGCTAGGAGAGAGGAGAGGCATGGGATGATTTCTCTCTCAGACTCCAGAAGGAATCAATTCTGCCAGCACCTTGATTTCGGACTGCTTCCTTAACTGTGATAGAATAAATTTGTGTTATTTTAAGCCACCCAACTGCAGTAACTTGTTATGGCAGTACTAGGAAACTAAACAGGTGAAAGAAACAGTTAAGACATACTCCAAAACGGCAACTGCTTTTCTGAATGAGTACCAGACAAATCCAACTCACTGTTTGCAAAAGATTCTCACAAAGCTTCTTGGCAGCAGCCAGGCCTTCTGGTTTGGGGTGACTGCAAAGAAATAACCAGGAATTCAAAGGAGAGAAAAATAAATAAAAGATGCAGAATGCTGCTTTCATTTTTCATGCTATTTTACAAATCTACATTAATATATTCACTGTAGCTCAAAATCTAGGCCTCTGAAAATCACAAAACAGAAACACAAAATAACATAAGTCTTTAAAAATATATTATCATTACCACAAATATTTTATTAGTCTTTCTCTGAGTAATGGTACTTCTTGATATAAAAATATTTTAAAGTTCATAAAATTACTATAAAATGTATTAATATTGATACAGGTTTAAATGAAAATTATTTCAGGCTTATCACAGCTCACTTTAAGATTCACTTTTTTTGGCCAGGTGTGGTAGCTCACGCCTGTAATCCCAGTACTTTCGGAGGCCGAGACGGGCAGATGGCGAGGTCAGGAGATCGAAACCATCCTGACTAACATGGTGAAACCCCGTCTCTACTAAAAATACAAAAAATTAGCCGGGCGTGTTGGTGGGCGCCTGTAGTCCCAGCTACTCTTAGAAGGAGTCTCGCTCTGTTGCCCAGGCTAGAGTGCAGTGGCGCCATCTTGGCTCACTGCAAGCTCTGCCTCCCGGGTTCATGCCATTCTCCTGCCTCTCAGCCTCCCGAGTTGCTGGCACTACAAGTGCCTGCCACCATGCCTGGCTAATTATTTTTGTTCTATTTTTAGTAGAGACAGGATTTCACCATGTTAACCAGGATGGTCTCGATCTCCTGACCTTGTGATCCGCCTGCCTAGGCCTCTGAAAGTGCTGGGATTACAGGCCAAGATTCACTTTTGTACAGACTTGTAAAAAACCAAAAGACTTGAAAGAGACAATTCCGTCTCCTAATTCAGTAATTTCTCTTTTTTTTTTTTTTTTTTTTGCGACGGAGTCTTGCTCTGTCGCCCAGGTTGGAGTGCAATGGTGCAGTCTCAGCTCACTGCAACCTCCACCTCTGGGGTTCAAGCACTTTTCCTACCTCAGCCTCCTGAGTTGCTGGGATTACAGGTGCCTGCCACCACACCTGGCTAATTTTTTTTTTTTTTTTTTTGAGACAGTTTCACTCTTGTTGCCCGGGCTGGAGTGCAATGGCATGATCTCGGCTCACCGCAACCTCTGCCTCCCAGGTTCAAGCAATTCTGCCTCAGCCTCCGTAGTAGCTGGGATTATAGGCATGTGCCACCACGCCCGGCTAATTTTGTATTTTTAGTAGAGACGGGGTTTCTCCATGTTGGTCAGGCTGGTCTCGAACTCCCGACCTCAGGTGATCCACCCACCTCGGCCTCCCAGTGCTGGGATTACAGGCGTGAGCCACTGCGCACACCTGGCTAATTTTTGTACTTTTAGTAGAGACAGGGTTTCACCGTGTTGGCCAGGGTGGTCTCGAACTCCTGACCTCAACTGATCCATCTGCCTTGGTCTCCCAAAGTGCTGGGATTACAGGTGTGAGCCACCACACCTGGTTTAAGACAGGGTCTCACTCAGTCACCCAATCTGGAGTGCAGTGGTGCAAACACTACCTGCAGCCTTAACCTCCTGGGCTCAAGCCATCCTCTTGCCTCAGCTTCCTGAGCAGCTGGGATTATAGGTGTGCACCACCACATCTGGCTTTTTTTTTTGAGATGGAGTCTCGCTCTGTTGCCCCGGCTTGAGTGCAGTGGCACCATCTTGGCTCACTGCAAGCTCCATCTCCCGGGTTCACGCCATTCTCCTGCCTCAGCCTCCTGAGTAGCTGGGACTACAGGCGCCCGCCACCATGCCCAGCTAATATTTTGTATTTTTAGTAGAGACAGGGTTTCACCTTGTTAGCCAGGATGGTTTCGATCTCCTGATCTCATGATCTGCCCGCCTCGGCCTCCCAAAGTGCTGGGATTACAGGTGTGAGCCACCACGCCCGGCCTAATTTCTTTAATTTTTTTGTAGAGATAGGGTTTCGCTATGTTGCCTAGGCTGGCCTCAAACTCCTGGGCTTAAGTGGTCCTACGCCTTGGCCTCCAGAAGTGTTGGGATTATAGGCATGAGCCACCGTGCCCCAATTCTACAATTTATTTAACTAATTATAATTACTCCTAGCATTTACCTAAATCCCTCATGTTACTATTAATTACACCCGGTTTTCTCTTGCTCCTTCTGAATCACTCCTGACTGTACCAATAAGTTGACAAGAATTCACATGTCCCCTGCCCTATGCATCCATACCTGATGTAAATATACATAGGCTCAAAAGCTTCTCGGCCAGATGCTGGCTCAATGCAGCCTGAACCTTTGCCCCGCAGGAAGACTTTGGCACCTGTTTCAATCTGAATGTGCTGCAAATAGGAGCAGCCTGGACCTTCCACTTTCTCCTTGACGTTAAAAGTGGGCACAGCATGTTCTAGACCCACAAATAATTTATCTTGAACATAATGCATCTGTAGGAAGAAAAGAATACTTCGTATTAAACAGCGAATATATAATTAAATCCTCAATCTTTGAAATAAGTCAATAAGAAATTATAGCAAAGACAGTCTCCTGTAAAACTGGGATAGAGTGTTGGGTAGTACAGTCAGCCCTGTGATACTCTTCAGTGAAGGCTGCTCTCTCCAACCCTTTTTTCTAGGAGGAATGTATCAGCAAAGTCTTGCTTCATCAGACTCAGCCTTCTTAGTCCTCCAGTTATCAAGTTTACAAATAAACTAAAAGCACTAACTTCAAAATGTACAATACCTTCTGCTCTATCAATCTCCTTTGTAGAACATATCAATATGAAGAGGTATGTGCTCACGTGTTCATTATATTGTGGAGAGCTAGATAACACACTAACAGAATACCTATAGCAGGTAACTTTCGGGATTGGAATTTAATGATTTTTTCTTCTTCTTTATATGTATTACTTGGCACATCTTTTTTTTTTTTTTTTTTTTTTTTTTTGAGATGGAGTCTTGCTCTGTGGCCCAGGCTGGAGTGCAGTGGCATGGTCTCGGCTCACCGCAACCTCCACCTCCCAGGTTCAACCAATTCTCCTGCCTGAGCCTCCCGAATAGCTGGGGTTACAGGCGCCTGCCACCATGCCCAGGTAATGTTTGTATTTTTAGTAGAGATGGGGTTTCACCATGCTGGTCAGGCTGGTCTCGAGTTCCTGACCTCAAATGATCCACCCACCTCGGCCTCCCAAAGTGCTGGGATTACAGGAATGAGCCACTGCACCTGGACGGCACATATCATTTTTATAGAAATGATAAAGCTATTCATGATCCCTCCCCAAAACATACCCCTGACTGGAAGGGAGGCTTCTGGCTAACAGCTGGAGACAACTGAGCGATAGGTGCTGGCTGGTGATAGACAGTTACTGTTGCACCATTAAAAGTCGGACTTGTTCCTGTGGCAGCTTTTACCACTCCATTGGTGATAATTTCTTTGATCCGGTTTACAGCTCCTTGGAAAAACACAAACAGTAAAACTGAATGGAATGAACTGACTAGTGCCCAGGCAGGCCAGTGTTCAATCACTCACACGTAAATCCGCTTTATACGTTACCCAAGTATGCGGCTGTCAACCCCTCTAAACTCCCATACAAATTCGTGTACAGTTCATGAACAAGGGCTAGAACAGCCATCAGGGACAGTTTGCCAACTTGCTATACAGACCCCTGTACTTTGTTCTTCACAAAAAGTGCTACGTGAGCCAAAAACATTACTTACTGTCCACTAATTCCCGTGTCTGGCCCTGAACATGAAGATATAATGGACGATCCCTATAAAGAGAAACAAAAAAGGATGATCTCAACGTGGTCAAAACCAAAAAAGGAGTCAAATGGGTCACCAGATCTAATTTGTAATGTTTCAAGTTTCCAAATAACCAAAAGGGACTATATACATTAGAAGGGTTTTTGCTAGCTAATGTCTGAGAACATGCCTTAACAGCTGAGGAACAAATAAACTTCTTGATCTTAAAAGTCAACTGGCCAACAGATTTCAGATCAAATCTGTTCTTATAGATTCACTACCATTATTTTCCAGTCTATGGAGATAACCCAATATTTAAGAACAGAATTCCTTTTTGCTGGCTGTCTAATAGGTTATAAACAAATGTGGTCTTGTCTATCCAAATCAATGGGGCAAGCCGGGTGCTGTGGCTCATGCCTGCAATCCCAGCACTTTGGGAGGCTGAGGTAGGCAGATCACATGAGGCCAAGAGTTTGAGACCAGCCTGGCCAACATAGCAGAACCCCATCTCTACTGAAATTACAAAAATTAGCCGGCATGGTGGCATGCCTGTAGTCCAAGATACTGAGGAGGCTGAGGCACAAGAATCGCTTGAACCCAGGAGGTGGAAGTTGCAGTGACCCAAGATCATGCCACTGCACTCCCGCTCGGGCAACAGAGCCAGACTCTGTCTCAAAAAAAAAAAAACACACACACACACAAAAAATTAATGGGGAAAGATTGATCATGCATATAGAGAAATCTCTTAAGGCCCACATCAACTGATAATTTAGATTCTAAATGTGAAGATGACTTAAATTATAATAAAGTGATCAATAACCATATACAGTTAATAAAAAGTGGCAGGTAAAAATAACTTTTTAAAGACAAAGTTCAAAACAGCAACCAACACATATAGAAAGTTTAAATATATTCTTGGGGCCAGGCACAGTGGCTCACGCCTGTAATCCCAGCACTTTGGGAGGCCGACGCGGGGGGGCCACCCAAAGTCAGGAGTCAAGACAATATTGCCAATATTGTGAAACCCCATCTCTACTAAAAATACAAAATGTAGCTGGGTGTGGTGGCACACGCTTGTAATCCCAGCTACGTGGGAAGCTGAGGCCAGAGAATGGCTTGAACCCAGGAGGCAGAAGTTGCAGTGGGCCGAGATGGCGCCACTGCACTCCAGCCCAGGTGACAAGACCAAACACTCCATCTCTAAATAAATAAATAAATTCTTGGCTTGGGGTAGGAAGTAAATTTTGTTACTTATTTTGTGTAGTTTAAGCTAATGTTAAAAATGCTGCATTTCCTAAGTACCTATCAACCAACAGTGAAGAGAAACTCAAACACTGAATGATGGAAGGAATGAAATGAAACAGATTAAGTCTTTACCTGAATAATCACAACATATAACCATCATAAAGACAAAAAATATATATATGAGCCCATTTGTGAGGGTAATTATTTCCACAGAAAAAAGTTAAGTAGTATATACATGGCCGGGCACAGTGGCTCACGCCTGTAATCCCAGCACTTTGGGAGGCCGAGGTGGGCGGATCACAAGGTCAGGAGATTGAGAACATCCTGGTTAACATGGTGAAGCCCCATCTCTACTAAAAATACAAAAAATTAGCCGGGTGTGGTGGCAGGTGCCTGTAGTCCCACCTACTCGGGAGACTGAGGCAGGAGAATGGCATGAATTCGGAAGGCAGAGCTTGAAGTGAGCCAAGATTGTGCCACTGCAATCCAGCCTGGGTGACAGAGTAAGACTCCATTTCAAATTTAAAAAAAAAAAAAAAAAAAGGAAGTATATATATTATTTCTGCAGATCATATGGCACAGAAAAAAGAAAAAAAAAGTATATACATTAAATGTTAGTGGTATCTTCTTTTACACTTTCCTATAATTTGTTTCCTCCAATAAAAACATTAAATGTGAAATAAAAGTCCAAAAACAGCTCCCAACAGCTTGTATCTGTTTGATAGCCAGAATTCTGCTATACAGTGTGCACACACATACCCCTCAAACCTCGAATCAAATATCATGTACACGTATTACCTACGGATGAAAAACATGAGGCTAATGTGAGTCATACACCCAACCCTTCCATAAACAAGAGAATACGTACCCTGGTCCCACTTTGGCTTTTTCCTCAGTTGTCATGAACCTCCCTCGAGTTGATACTGCAGCCCCACTAAGGCGGCTGATCTAAAAAAGGAAATGTTCAATTAAGAAGATGTGGCAATTGGTTGATTTCAATGGCAGACAGATTTTCTTCCCATTCATTCATTCGACCAAGTAAGAAGGAATGAATTCTCTCCTATATCTGAAATTTTTATTCCATGGTTTCTTACTCAAACCAACACAGAGAATTCATTTATACCCATTTCATTATCTTCCTCTGAAGTTAAATTAAACCCAGTCCTGACTTCAGAGACTATGACCCAAACTCACTAATAAATATCTAACACCTGTCTATTTAGAGGTCTTCTTTATCTGAATCCACTCATCACCTTCCCCAAAGAGTCCCAATGCCTCCTCACCTCATCTTGAGTCTGTCCTCGAGTCAGCAAGTTCCTACATGTGAGAGGCACATCATTAATTTCTACTTCAGCTACCACCAGGTCATCCTTGCTTTTATTGCTAGTTAGGCCTTTGCCAGGAGCCTGAAGCTAGAAAAAAGAGAAATTAGATTAAAAAGTTTTTATGGTGAGATAAAGTCTTCTTTTTTTTATTTATTTATTTACTTGAGACGGAGTCTCTTTCTGTCGCCCAAGATGGAGTGCAGTGGCATGATCTCAGCTCACTGCAACCTCCACCTCCTGGGTTCAAGCGATTCTCCTACCTCAACCTCCTGAGTAGCTGGGATTACAGGTGGGTACCACCATGCCTGGCTAATTTTTCTACTTATAGTAGAGATGGGGTTTTGCCATATTGGTCAGGCTGGTCTCAAACTCCTGACCTCATGATCCACCTGCCTTAGCCTGCCAAACTGCTGGGATTACAGGCATGAGCCACCACGCCTGGCCTATTTTTTTATTTTTATTTTTTCTTGAGATGAAGTCTCACTCTATCACCCAGGCTGGAATGCAGTGGCACAATCCCAGCTGACTGCAATCTCCGCCTCCCAAGTTCAAATGATTCTCCTGCCTCAGCCTCCTGAGTAGCTAGAATTACAGGTATGAGCCAATAAACCCAGTTCGTTTTTGTATTTTTAGTAGAGATGGGGTTTCACCATGCTGGCCAGGCTGGTCTCGAGCTCCTGACCTCAGGTGATCCACCCACCTTGGCCTCCCAAAGTGCTGGGATTACAGGCATGAGCCACTGTGCCCAGCCTAGATAAAGCCTTTTAGTCGTCCAAAATACAACTATCCTTTCCCAAATCCCGCACCTCCCTACCCTTCCCTTCATCTGCCTGTAAACACAGTTGGTCTTTCTTCATAAACAAATTAACAAGCAAACAAAAACCTCACTAAACAAAGTCAATCTGCTTGAAGGCCACAATCAAGATTTCTCTGTGACCTTAGCCCTATGTGCATTTTTATGACCACCTAATTATAGAAGCTCTAGGGACCAGAAGCTACAGCCTTCAAAAAGAAAATTAAAGAGCAAAGTTATGACACTCTATAGCTCAGTTAGTTGGCTGTACATGGAATAAAACATAATAGAAGGTAGAGAAGCAATGCACACAACACATATACCTCAAGCATATAATAGGAAGTTGTTTTTGTGCCACTCCCACAATCATAACATAAAATCCAACTAATTCCATCCTTGTAAAGTTCTCAAAAGCCCTTAAATTGTATCTAACTAATCATTCCTCACTCTATTACGGAAGAACAAAGAAGAATGAAAAGCCAGTAAGATGGTAAAACCTGATCTAGTTTCTTTCAATTTAAACTGCAAGGAGTTCGTGACCAGCCTGGTCAACATGGTGAAACCCCGACTCTAGTAAAAATACAAAATTAGCCAGGTGTGGTGGTTCGTGCCTGTAGTCCCAGCTACTCTGGAGGCTGAGGCAGGAGAATCGCTTGAAGCCGGGAGGCACAGGTTGCAATGAGCCGAGATCACGCCATTGCACTCCAGCCTGGGCAACAATAGTGAAACTCCGTCTCAAAAATAAATAAATAAATTACCAAAAAAAAAGGCTGGGCCGGGTGGCTCACTTGAGCCCAAGAGTTTCAGACCAGCCTGGGCAACATGGCAAAACCACATCTCTACAAAAAAATACAAAACATTAGCTGGGCATGGTGGCATGAGACTGTAGTCCCAGCTACTCAAGAGGCTGAGGCAGCAGTAAGCAGTGATTGCGCCACTGAACTCCAGCCTGGGCAACAGAGCAAGACTCTATCACACGAAAAACCAGACAGACAGAAAGAAAGAACAGAAAGAAAGAAAGGCCGGGCGCGGTGGCTCAAGCCTGTAATCCCAGCACTTTGGGAGGCCGAGACGGGCGGATCACGAGGTCAGGAGATCGAGACCATCCTGGCTAACACGGTGAAACCCCGTCTCTACTAAAAAATACAAAAAAACTAGCCGGGCGAAGTGGCGGGCGCCTGTGGTCCCAGCTACTCGGGAGGCTGAGGCAGGAGAATGGCGTAAACCCGGGAGGTGGAGCTTGTAGTGAGCTGAGATCCGGCCACTGCACTCCAGCCTGGGCGACAGAGCCAGACTCAGTCTCAAAAAAAAAAAAAAAAAAAAAAAGAAAGAAAGAAAGACAGAAAGACGGAAAGAAAGAACGAATGAATGAACCAACCAAACAGGCTCATGCCTGTAATCCCAGCACTTGGGGAGGCTGAAGCAGTCTGAGCAACATGGCAAACCCATCTCTTCCAAAAATAAAAAAAAAAATTAGCCGGGCACGGTGGCATGCGACTGTAGCCCTACTACTTGGGAGTACCTACTACTTGACTGTGCCACTGCAGTCACTGCCTGGGCAATCAAGCCAGACCCTGGGACCACAGGCATGCACCACACCTAGTTAATTGTTTTTGTCTTTTCTGTAGAGACAGGGTTTCAGCATGTTGCCCAGGCTGGTCTTGAACTCCTGGCCTCAAGTGAACCACCCACCTGCCTTAACCTCCTGAGTAGCTGGGACTACAGGGGCCTATCTCCCCAGTCTATGTCTAGAAGGTAAGATATTGTTTACTTTGTGCATTACATACATTTTTTAAATGTGGAGGCAAAACTAAATACAAACTCAACAATATCACCTTACCTTTATTTAACCCCCTATAGTATTCATTTACATTATCATCTCAATGAATCCTTATGACCGCCTTTAATAGTACTTATCAATGTTGTCTAAGAGAACTTTTGGTGACAGGTGTTCTAGTCCATCACTCCAATATGGTAACCATTTAGCCACATGCGTCTGTTGAGCACCTGACACGTGGCTAATGTGACTAAAGGTCTAAATTTTAAATTGTATTTTGTTTGGTTTTGCTTTGCTTTGCTTTTTGCTTTAACAACAGGAATTTATTTCTCACAGTTATGGAGGCTGATAATGTATTTAAATTAGTTTTATTATTTAGACAAGGTCTCACTCTGATGCTTAGGCTGGAGTGCAATGGCAAAATGACAGCTCAATGCAGCCTCAAGCTCCTAGGCTCAGGTGATCTTTCCACCTCAGCCTTCCAAGAATCCAAGAAGAATTACAGAGGAGCTGGGACTACAGGTGTGAGCCACCACACCCAGCCCCTTAATTTTAACTTAAATTGCCACATGAGGCTAGTGACTACTGCACTACACAATGCAGGTATATATTACCAACGAGAAAGCTGAGTTTCGTTATGCCAAAGCCATGTAACCAGTAACTGTGGATTCTGGGTTTCAAATTGTGGATTCTGGGTTTTTAGGTTTTATGATTCTAAATCCAGTGTTTATGTATCCTGCTGAGGTCAACTACCTAAAGATTATTATTTTAAGGGAAAAAGAGAGCTTAAACGATTAACATCAGTATTAAGAATCTTAATATATAAGAAGCATTACATCTTTGTCAAGATGCTTTTAATTTTTCCTCATAAAACAATCTTTGCAAACAATAGGCTGCACATGGTGGCTCATACATGTAATCCCAGCACTTTGGGAGGCCGAGATGAGCCTGATCAACATAGTGAGACCCTGTCTACTAAAAATACAAAAAAAAATTAGCCGGGCATGGTGGCATGCACCTGTAATCCCAGCTACTTGGGAGGCTAAGGCAGCAGAATCACTTGAACCCAGGAGACAGAGGTTGTAGTGAGCCGAAATCACCCCACTACTGCACTTCAGGCTGGGCGACAGAGTGAGACTCTGTCAAAAAATAAATAAATAAATAAAACCCTACAGGTTCTAATTAGAGATGACACTATGGGGCTCACTTGATTTACCTGAACTTCTCTTTTGAGTTCAGGGAAAAAGCACATATATTAAAAACATGTTATGTTGTTTTAAATGACTATGGAAATAGAACTTAAGTTGAACTAAGTGGACAAGGACAAGACAAGGTATTTGGTCCATAAATGTAATCAGCCCAATCAAAAATGCCTCGTAAGTATGTATTTGTAACAAAATGTCTTCTGGAACATTCCAAAACTAAATGATCTCTCAACTACTATATCCATTTTATCCTTTACTAACACAAATTATTATATGATTACAGGATTACAAACAACTTTTTTTTTTTTTAAAAGACGGAGTCTCATTGGGTCGCCCAGGCTGGAGTGCAGTGGCATAATCTCAGCTCACCACAACCTCCGCCTGCTGGGTTCAAGCAGTTCTCCTTGCCTCAGCCTCCTAACTAGCTGATTACAGGCGCGCGCCACCATACCCGACTAATTTTTGTACATTTAGTAGAGACGGGGTTTCAACATGTTGGTCAGGCTGGTCTCGAACTCCTGACCTCGTGATCCACCTGCCTCAGCCTCCCAAAGTGCTGGATTATAGGCGTGAGACACCGCGCCCGGCAAAACAACCACTAAATTCGCAATTAGTGGAGACCCTTCAACTTCAAATACCTTCTCAGAAGCATTCTGTGTTGGTTTCAGCTTTCCTTTTGCCATGAGCATGGCATTGATCTTGGCAGCCACAGCAGCAGCAGCATCCAAAGCACCTGAAGGAGCAGCTGTGGTGCCCCCAGGACTTCCCCCACTGCTGGTGACCTCCCCACCTGGGGCCGCTGGCGGGAGGAAGAGAAGTGGGGCTGGAGCTGGTTGGTCCCATTTGCTGCGTCGCCTACACGTAGAAAAAGGAAAACATTAGGCCACAAAGCTTTCATGTATGTTATTCTTTCCTTACTACGCCTCAGCACCCCATTTTCCCTCTATTATATTCCACTTACACTTCCGAATCACCTTTTAAATCTAAAACTCCCCTCTCCTTAAACAATTATTGCTACATTTAACAAACCCCCCACTTTCCACCCTTCCCCAAAATCTTTCCTTTCTACTGTCCCCTATATCAAAAGACTCCACTCTATCCTGCACGCTCTCGTTTACGCCTTCCCCTTGGCTCGCCCTTCCAAAAGTCCCCGTTTCCCTCCTCCCTCGGATCCCAGCCGGCCCTTTAAGGGCCCCAGGCCTGCTCAAGATCCTTCTCCCCAAACGTCCAACGCTTTACTTCCTACTTAAGGGGCCCTCCACCCTATACGCAGCTTCTCAGGGTGCCTCCGCCTCTCCCGCGCCCCAGTGCTCGCTCCGATGCCCTCGCCCCTGAAGCCGTACCCGCCAGCTCCAGGATGTGTCGCGCTCCCCGCGGACATGGCGACCGGTTCTACTCAACCACCCGCCAACTACCCGACTACCACCTTCTCGTCACTTCCGCCCCCAACGCTCTTACGCACAGCCTTTTCCGGTCGTGAGGCCGAGCGGTTCCGGTGAAAATGTCGATTCCGATTGGACTCTTGACGATTTAAAGGCGTCTGGCGTTTCTGAAACTGGTAGGGTGTGATCTTCCGGGTTGCGCCTTACCCTTAAGAAAGATGGCTGGTATGCCTACTATAGATGCGGAATCGGGCCTAGCTGAATCCATCTTTATCGTGGGCATGTTGTGAGACTGGAAGACAATACGCATGAGTCAGTAGATTAAACAGGTTTCTCCTCAAATTCCGCTACGTTTGTGTTGAGTCCTAGTTTCTGTCTGGGGAGACAACCTTCCCGCGGCTTTTGCCCGTTTCACGTTTCTGTTACTTAGGAAAAGGAAAAGGATTCGTTGCAAAGATCATTTCAAGAATTTCTCTGTCTGTTTGGTCCATTTCTGTGCACCAAGCAGGGAATATAAAGATAAAAAGATGAATAAGCCGCAGGCCCTGCCATTCTGGTACTCTCAGTGTGGCAAGGCAGATACGCAGGCAAATATGTGTGATAGAGTTGTATATTAAGCAAAGGTCGAAGAAGATAAGCTGCACATCTTGGGGGAGCGTTAAGAACGGGAAGCTAAAAAGCCGGTAGAGTGCTGGAGAAGCGATCAAGCGTAGGTTATGGAGCACCCTGTTCTGGGATCTGTGTACTTAACGGTTGAGCTGGCTGGAGTGCGGGAGGCCAGGAGTTGAAAGGCCTTGAATGAGTTGATTCTGTAGGCTAAAGATTTCTTTTTTTGAGACCGAGTTTCGCTCCGTCACCCAGGCTGGAGTGCAATGGCGCGATGCGATCTCGGCTAACTGCACTCTCCGCCTCCCGGGTTCAAGCGATTCTCCTGCCTCAGCCTCCCAAGTAGCTGGAATTACAGGCGCCCGTCACCACGCCCAGCTAATTTTTGTTTTGTTTTGTATTTTTAGTAGAGACGGGGTTTGGCTATGTTGGCCAGCCTGGTCTCAAACTCCTGACCTCAGGTGATCCACCCGCCTCGGCCTCCTGAAGTGGTGGGATTACAGGCGTGAGCCATCGCGCCCGGCCGAAGCTAAAGGTTTCTAACCTTTGGGATGTCTTGGAACTTCACTGGGTTTTCAGATCCTCCCACCTCAGCCTCTGAAGTAGTTGGGACTACAAGCACGCGCCACCATACCTGGCTTTATTTTATTTTATTTTATTTTATTTTATTTTATTTTATTTTATTTTTAGAGACCGGGGTGGCAGGGGATGCGGAGGTGGGGGGTTACTATGTTGCCTAGGCTGGTCTCAAACTCCTGGGCTCAACGGATCCTACCACCTCGGCCTCCCCAAAGTGCCCTTTTTCCTCTTCTCCCCGGAACACAATGCTGTTGGGATTCAGATTGAAATTACATTGTTTATTATATTTGTCATTTTAAAAAATTTGAGATATACCATAAATTTACCCTTTTTAAAAAGAGTAAATTTAAGTGCACAATTCATTGTTTTTTAGCGTGTCCACAAGATTGTGCGACAATCACCATTATCTAATTCCAGATTTTTTTTTCCAGATTATTTTTGTCACCCCAAAAAGAAACCCCTCACCTGTTAACAGTCACTTCACGTTTCTCTCGCCCCACAAGACATGGGCTACCACTGATCTACTGTTTCTCTGGATTTACCTATTCTACATATTTTATATAAATGGAATTATACAATGTGTGACCTTTTGTATCTGGCTTCTTTCACTTACAGTGTTTTCAAAGTGTATTCATGTTGTAGCATATGTCAGAACTTCATTTTTTTTTATCACTGAATAAACTTCATTCTTTTTTATCACTGAATTTCTTTTCCATTGGATGTATAGACCACAATTACCCATTCATCCATTGATGAACATTTGAGTTGTTTCCACCTCTTGGCTATTGTAAGTAGTGCTGCTGTGAACATTCACAAGTATTTTTTTTTTTTTTTTTTGAGACGGAGTCTTTTTTGTTTGTTTGTTTTTGTTTTTGTTTTTGTTTTTTGAGACGGAGTCTCGCTCTGTCGCCCAGGCTGGAGTGCAGTGGCGCGATCTCGGCTCACTGCAAGCTCCGCCTCCTGGGTTTACGCCATTCTCCTGCCTCAGCCTCCTGAGTAGCTGGGACTACAGGCGCCCGCCACCGCGCCCGGCTAATTTTTTGTATTTTTAGTAGAGACGGGGTTTCACCGTGGTCTCGATCTCCTGACCTTGTGATCCGCCCGCCTCGGCCTCCCAAAGTGCTGGGATTACAGGCGTGAGCCACCGCGCCCGGCCAAAGAGTTCTTTTTTTTTTTTTTTTTGGTCGCCCGGGCTGGTTTTTTGTATTTTTTTTTAGTGGAGACGGGGTTTCACCATGTTAGCCAGGATGGTCTCGATCTCCTGACTTCGTGATCCGACCGTCTCGGCCTCCCAAAGTGCTGGGATTACAGGCTTGAGCCACCGCGCCCGGCCGAGACGGAGTCTTGCTCTGTGCCCCAGGCTGGAGTGCAGTGGCGCGATCTCGGCTCACTGCAAGCTCCGCCTCCCCGGGTTCACGCCATTCTCCTGCCTCAGCCTCCCGAGTAGCTGGGACTACAGGCGCCCGCCACCTCGCCCAGCTAATTTTCTTGTATTTTTAGTAGAGACGGGGTTTCACCGTGTTAGCCAGGATGGTCTCGATCTCCTGACCTCGTAATCCGCCCGTCTCGGCCTCCCAAAGTGCTGGGATTACAGGCTTGAGCCACCGCGCCCGGCCCACAAGTATTTAAGTATCTGTTTTTAATTTTTTTTTTTTTTTTTTTTTTTGAGATGGAGTCGCGCTCTGTCGCCCAGGCTGGAGTGCAGTGGCCTGATCTCGGCTCACTGCAAGCTCCGCCTCCCGGTTTTACGCCATTCTCCTGCCTCAGCCTCCGGAGTAGCTGGGACTACAGACGCCAGCCACCTCGCCCGGCTAGTTTTTTGTATTTTGTAGTAGAGACGGGGTTTCACCGTGTTAGCCAGGATGGTTTCGATCTCCTGACCTCGTGATCCGCCCGTCTCGGCCTCCCAAAGTGCTGGGATTACAGGCTTGAGCCACCGCGCCCGGCCTCTGTTTTTAATTCTTTAGGGTTTATATTGTAGGAGCAGAATTGCTAGGTCACATGGACATCTTGTTTAACTTTTGTGGAACTGCCAAACCAACTGGCTACACTATTTTACATGCCCACCAGCAATGTACCAGGGTTCCTATTACTCCACATCATCCCCAACCCTTGGTATTTTCAACTTTTAAAAAATATTTTTTCTTTTTACTTTCCTTAATCTTGCCAGTGTCTTATCTTTTTTTGCCTTTTTAAAGAACCTAGCTTTTAGTTTTATTCATCAATTCCATGTTAACTTTTTTTTTTTTTTTTGAGACAAAGTTTCGCTCTTATTGCCCAGGCTGGAGTGCAGTGGTGTGATCTTGTCTCACTGCAACCTCCGCCTCCCGGGTTCAAGTGATTCTCCTGCCTCAGCCTCCTGAGTAGCTGGGATTACAGGCACACACCAGCACACCAGCTAATTATTTGTATTTTTAGTAGATACAGGGTTTCACCATGTTGGCCAGGCTGGTCTCGAACTCCTGACCTCAGATGATTCATCGGCCTTGGCCTCCCAAAGTGCTGGGATTGAGTGCGTGGGCATGAGTCACCACGCCCGGCCTTCCTTTTGGGAAGATTTATATTGTTTTTCCCCGCTTAATTTTGTTTTGAGACAGAGTCTTGCTCTGTCACCCAGGCTGGAGTGCAGTGGCGCCATCTCGGCTCACTGCAAGCTCCGCCTCCTAGGTTCACACCGTTCTCCTGCCTCAGCCTCCCAAGCACAACCACACCCAGCTAATTTTTTGTATTTTTAGTAGAGACGGGGTTTCACCATGTTAGCCAGGATGGTCTTGATCTCCTGACCTCGTGATCTGCCTGCCTCAGGCTCCCAAAGTGCTGGGAATATAGGTATGAGCCACTGCTCCTTGCCCCCCTTACTTTCTTAAGTTAAATGTTTAGTTCATTTATTTATAATTCTTTTTTTTTTTTTTTTTTTTTTTTTTTGAGGTAGAGTTTCACTCTGGTTGCCCAGGCTTGAGTGCAATGATGCTATCTCAGCTGTCCGCAACCTTCACCTGTCGGGTTCAAGTGATTCTCCTGCCTCAGTTTCCTGAGTAGTTGGGATTACAGGTGCCGGCCACCATGCCCAGGGTTTCACCATGCTGACCAGGGTGGTCTTGTACTTCTGACCTCTAGTGATCCACTTGCCTCAGCCTCCCAAAGTGTTGGGATTCCAGGTGTGAGTCCTGCTCCCAGCCTTATAATTCTCATAAAAGTCTTAATTTCACCAATAACATTTATCTTTTGATGGCCAAGTGAGGTGGCTCATGCCTATAATCCCAGCACTTTGGGATTCTGAGGCTGGTAGATCATTTGAGGCCAGGGCATCATAGTGAGACCCCATCTCCACAAAAAATAAAAATTAGCCAGTGTGGTGGCACACCTGTAGTCTCAGCTACTCAGGAGGCTGAGGTGGGAAAATCACTTGAACCAAGAAGTTTGAGGCTACAGTGACACATGATCACACCACTGCACTCCAGCCTGGGTGACAGAGCAACAAAAACATAAAATAATAAAACATTTCTCTATTGATACAACCGAATCTGATTTTCTAAACTCAATTCAATAGCACCTTGTTCTACTGCTAATTGAAAAAGCCTCTCTAAAGTGAGATAGGTTAGGCTGAGGTCATTTTTCCTTTCTGTTGGGTGCATGGTCAAAAAATTGACATATGAATTTCATTTATTCTTGCCTAGTGGTCATTTAGGTATTATTAGGTCATTTACTACCAACTCTAAGGTAGTGACACCTTGGGGAGCCATAAAATCCATAGAGCTAGGCCCCATAATCTCTCTGTCAGTCTCCTCTCCTTGCTACTCCCCCTTTGTTTCAGTGGCACTTTCTAGCTAAGATTCAGTCCCCTTTTCTCCAGATGGTGGTGCTGCATTCCCATACCTGTCTCCAGAGGATCT